TAATCCATGTTGCTTAAAGGCAGAGATTTTAAGCACCGCCTTCAAATATACCTGGTCTGGGTAGCCCTGTCAATCAAGTGCATGAAGGTCCATCATTGGATGCTGGAACTTGATTGACAGTTACTTACTAGTACCTGTGTATACCCTGTACACCTTGATTGGGACTCATGGTGACCTTCTAATTAACTTTTGATCTTTTGATGTTTACTAAACATGGTATACAGAATTACTGTATTACTATGAAATTTTATAGATTGATAATGTATGAATTAAATATACCTTTAGTATTTGATAATAATATAATATGCATTTTTAAAGCCAAAACATTAAACTTCAGTACAAAAACTTTTTTTCAAATGAAATTTCAATATTATTTTTAAATATAATGGTGAAGTGGAAATGTTATTGATAAAGTTCAGAGCAGCACTGTGTAAAGTAATTAAATTAAAAAAATAATGTTTCTAATCATGGGTCAATTACATTTTCCTTTTTCTATTCAAATGAGAATTTACAAGCATGTTTCATGGTGACAAAGCTTTATTAAGGTTAGGATAGACCTATAGAGTGCAGATATTTTTTGTGAAATGTAGTTCACACAGCTCTCTTTTCATTTAATTAATAGATGGGATCCTGGGGATGAATGAATCAAGTCTAATTTGGTTGTTACAAGAGATGTTTTCTTTAAATTAACACAAACAATAACATCTAAAACAATCTTTGTTTTGATATTTGAATTCATATTATATCATAATAATTTTTTTTAAGATAGGTAGGGGTGTTTTCAAACAGTCAAAAATAAATCAATAAAAAATTGAAGAAAAAAAATTCTTACTGCTAATTTTAAAATTGTCTCAAAATCCCCAACACAGGTAAAGTTTGACACCTGGGGTATTTCACTGTGTATTAAATTACTTCCTGTGTATAGGGATTAGGAGACGGATGACCACAGGTAGACTGCTAGCCCCCAAGGCATTCACACCTGTACAAAATAAGCCCCTCCCTCACCTGGAATTTACCACCCGGTAAAAAATCTCTGCCTTTAAAAAATCATTTACAAGCAAAGCAACAGAAAAGGCCAAAAACTGTGAATTGCTAAAATTTTTCACAAAGTCTATAAAATCCAGTATTTCTCTCCAAATTCGCCAGTCAGTTTTTTCCCTACATGTAAAACTTCCTTTGATTATTGGGAAGATGCCCCATCCCTGATACGGGGGAATTAAGGGTCCCATGGTCCAGAAAAAAAATCTTGAATCTATAAACACTGCAAGAAAAGATGCAAGCATAATCTTGGAAAACTGTCCAAAAGCATGTTGTTGTGTTTTTATTACAAATAAGAGCAAGCTTTATTCACCAATTATCACATTTGAGAGTCATTAAAAAAGTGATATAGAAAGGTATCCAACCTAAACTCACCTGAAATCAGAAGTTGATCACAACTAGCATCAGAACTATGACGTAGACATAAGTACGCATACAAAAGCTATCTGTTCACAACTTGTTTTTCAAGGATGGCTTTAAACATTTTTAATTCCCTGATCCGTTTTACCATTTGGGAAAACATGTGAACTATAAGGTTCTGTGTAAAAACATTGGGGTCAGTGCTCCCAGAAAATTACCAACTCCTCCAAATCAATAACACATCAAATGCAGAACTAAAACGAAAATATTTACTTCAGCGTGACATTAATTAAATGAATTGATTTTGCATTTGAAATTGACATTTAATAAATTTAAGCCTATAAATAGTTTTGTCTGATATTCATAGACTTTAGATTTATCTTCTCAGATGATGGCTGCATGCAAAAATCTGAGTGAAGACAATTTCTCCATTCCCGTTGAGCATAACAGCATGGAGTCGATTCTGGAAAAAAAAATTCACTTTATATTCATGGAGGTCGGGGTGCCAGCTGTCAGTGCTTTTGGATTAGTGGGAAACATCCTTAATCTGCTCGTACTGACCAAAGAAAAGGTCAACCATTGTTTAACAAAGATGGAAAAATCAGCTCATATAGGATTAATTGCTTTAGCTGTTTCCGACTTCATGTTCTGTCTCCTGGCGTTACTGTTCACCATACTGCCACCACAGGAAACATATCGAGAGCGAAATGGAGTCCTCTACTATCGTTGGCTTGGAAATGGTTTCATCACTTTCTTCATCATCAACAGTACTTGGTTAATTGTGGTAATGGCAGGGGAAAGATACCTTGCTGTCTGCCATCCTTTTAAGGCCAGGAAACTGATATCGGTCAAAAAGACCAAGATTGCTATCTGTCTGGTGTACATGATCTGCATTCTTTCTATAATACCACTGTTTTTTGAGTCAGAAATAGTAGAAACGACGTGCATTGATGGTTCCAGACTGTACAGAATTGAGAGACGTAAAAATTACAATGACCAAACACGAAGAATGCTGTGGTCTATTATTTTCGATTTCATTCCATGTATTGCCCTCCTGTTCTTCAATATCTGTCTGGTCTGGAAGATTCGCCGGGCAAAACGTATACACAGAGAGCTGACCCCCGGACAGAGCAACGACTTTGTTATGTACTGCTCCTCAATGAAAAGCACAGAGGAACAAGGCACTCATTCCTCCTCCAGATCCAACAACAGATGTAATGGTTGTCCTAAAAAAGACCTGGCACAGAGCTCATTAATAAAAACCAGAAAACCGGGAATGGTTTCCCATTGCAGGCGAAGCTTTGACAGTGCCCTTAACAGTGTGACCGCCACATTAATGGCAGTGGTTGTGCTCTTTTTAATGCTTGTTTCCCCATCTGAAATCATTAAGTTCATTTATGCCAAGATTCACATAGTGGACTCCGTTGGTAAAAACAAGCACTATTACTACCACAAGATTATACTGCATGTGACGAATTTCATGCAAGCTCTGAACTTTTCAATTAATTTCATTTTATACTGTGCTGTTAACAAATCTTTCAGAAAAACACTCCGTAACCTTGTTCCTTTCTGTCGCCAAAGTCGGCCCAGAGCTCGATTCATCAAACGTATGCCACCAACACATTGCCATAACTTGACTTGAATACAAATTGTATAATCTGTATAAATTGTATAGACATGATCTCATTACATGTATGTGACAATATTTTCTGTGTACAAAAAGGAACAAAAAATGGGAATGATTAATTGATTACAGAATGAGAAATTTGCATTTTTGGAATGCTCAAGTCCCAAGAACTATGCATACTAGCTTTTCTTTGAAATGCTGCCTCTTTAGACACTGGAGAGGGGAAGGATTGTAGATATATACAAACTACGTTATGATATTTAGGGTCTAAGGATTTTTTTCACAAAGCAATTCCATGAAAAGTGTTGATCTACAATGGTAATTTTAAACTATTTCACAGTACATGTATATCAATTTGTATAAATTATATAACAGCAATAACTATATGCATTGATGGTTTCGTAAAATAAAAATAATAAAATATCTTTATGCATTGTTTCTATTTTATCACTAATTTAAAATGATTGCTTGCAATAGTAAATTTACGTCCCTTGCAGCACAATGACCAGTCTTTAACCCCCTTCCCCGCAGTCACGCATTTTAACGCATATACCATTTCCTATTTCTAACGCAAAATCACGCATATACCGTTTCCCCGCAATCACGCATTTTCACGCACATTAAAAAGTTCATTTAGTCATCAATTTATTGCCAAATTCCATCTATTTTATATTTGCTTAAATCTCATGAAATAAGAAATGTTATTTTCTTATTAAAATATTACGTCACAGTATTATTTACGCTAAATTTTAGAGAAACTTGTACCGCGCTATAAAGTGCTTGCGGGGAAACGGTAACTTCACATTTCTTTGACGTGAACATTAAGTGTTTGTTACATAACAATTCAGTAAGTTGTAAAGAGTTAATTAATAGCCAGTCATAACTGGTCTATTCCTCTCAAATTAGCCCCTTCACGATAACTGCAGTACTACACTTTTGCAGGCAAAATAATAACGTTTGGTGAAGTTTTTGTTGACAGAGAATTAAATGATGTACTTTAAATAATTTTTAAAGTCATATTTCACCAAACTATATCATTTTGCCCTGCAAAAGAGCAGTACCGCAGTTACTATGAAACGGTCTGTTATTATTGTTATTGTAAAAAAAATTAATTTTTAGTAAATACGAAAAAGTTATAAATTTTGAAAATATAATCATAACTGTAGCATGTGTAGGGAACGGCAGTTTTAAAACAAATTCTTCAGTAAAAGTACACGTATTGAAAATAGAATCTATAAAAAGAATAAAGTCTTCAGAATTATAGGTTTGGAAATTTAACCAAAAAAAATCCCAAAAAAGAGGCCCATGGGCCACATCCCTCACCCAGGCCATCTTGGCCAATCTTTTCAAGTTTAAAAACAAAGATTTTTTTTATTTCTCCTGACATGAAACATTTCATTACTTCATATTCTTGCATCATCAAAACTTAACCCAAAAGTGTCACAATACAGGTAGTATATTAAATCCACACATTGTTGATATGCTTAAATTTCAATTTGACTAATTGTGTTCTTTTTTGATATACCAAATTTGAAAAATTGAACATTTAGGCTTCAGACATACATGCACATACTGTAATTCCTTTTATGAGCCAAAGATTGTTAATAAATTACCGCATTTTGCATTCACTTTGACAAGTGCAATCACAGTTAATAACCTCCCTTCAGTAAATAAGAAAAACGCATGATTGTGCTTAAAACGTGATTCAGTAACAAGAAATTCAGTTATGCAAGTCTTGAGTGATTATCAATGATTATCTGCAGTTAACAATATGAACTTTCTTTTTAAGTAAAATAACAGATAAAACAGTTAACAATGTGGTACATATTAAACTATGTTGACACCTTTGATATTAGAATACATACAATTTGAAATATATTACTTATTTTGAAACTTACTTTCACATACATGTGAAGTAGTAAGTCAAAAACATGTATATATAAAATCAGTACATATACACGTACTGGTTAATTAAATTTAAAACATAACAATTGCAAATGACAATAAATCTTAATAAAGAGTATTACTGTATATAGCATTGGAAAAAAATCATTTGAAAATGCAATCAAAATATGCATTTTTGTCGTAAATATATTGATCAATTAAAAAAATACAATCATTTTATAATACATACTTTTCCCAATGAAAGCGAAAACAGGAAAGGTTATGTGTAAGTGATTGGGGAAAAAAGTTTTTTCAGTTTTTAGCAATATGCATACTTTAAATTTACATAATTGCATTCTCAGAACACTTGATTCAAAGATTCTTGTTGAAAAATTGAAGGGAAGACTTTTGTTCCTATAAAGTTTTGTAGCATATCTATGCTATCATATTTATCAGTATATTTATTCTAAAAGAGGTAGGTTTACCTCCTTTTACGGGCTGATCATTGACCCTCTCCTTACATACTTACCTGTAAATTATTCATTTTGAACATATTAAAATTTTATCTAATAGAAGTCATTTTTAATCACTTGATGTTCACAAAAATCTACACGATCCGTGTTGTGTTCATTTGAATCAGGGAATCTGAGATTTCATATTTAAAATCCGACTATAGCTGTGACAATGTAATGACATTTTTAAACTGTAAGCATTGTTATTTTGAAGAAGCATATTCGCAAAGAAGTTCATAGTACAAATAAGATATAATTAAGTAAAATACAATTACTATTTGTATGTCCAGTCTTATCATGTTTTTACTATCAAATTAAGAAAACGTAACAAGGCACAAATCCAAATAAAAGTTTAAAATACTTCAGCAAAATATAAAAGTCATGCAGTCAATGAAGAGATCCAACTCAATGGTTTCCACATTCTATAGGGTGACACACATTTAATTTTTGCAATGAAATATCTGGTAAATCTTATGAGAAGATGAACATCACGCAAAGTATAAGCTGGAAGAGTCAGATCGATTCACAGTTGATATGGCATGGTCTAAAGTCACAATCGCTGCAGTCTATCAACGAGTATCCTATCTTTCAATGTCCTTCCAGAAAGATCACAAAATATCAGGATAAAAAAAAGTTCCCAACTCAAAATCCAGTTATTGGTGTTTAAATCCAAAGTCGTATTAAGAGACAGATGATTCTCGATTTCTTAAACATCAGTATTGTTTGTAAGATATATGAACTCTCTAAATGGTAATACATTGTTCTCAGAATGGACAAGATATATCCAATACAACAAACTACAAAATGAATATACATGATCACCTTTAACAATTATGGAAGTAAATAAAAAAACAAAAGAAATTTACAAACTATATATTCAAAAGTAGAGTTGTTATGCATATACATAAAAAGAGTTGTTCACAATTTTACAAATCCTCAGATAAAAATTCAACAGTTTATCGATCTACGGGTTATGGTCAGAAATAATGCATTTATTTATATGACCTTTCATTTTAATTTAAATATGGATTTAAAATTCAGCATAAATTGTAGTCATAGCAAAAGATATAAAATTATTTCATCCTTACAAATAAAATCTTAAGAAAGTAAACATATATACACGAATTAAGTACAATAAGAATTCAATATGTACATGTAATTGACAGTCAGGTCTAAAATGTAGATGTCTTCACTTAAAAACAAAATTGATTTGATTCAAAGATAAAGTACAAAATTCAAAATTTCAAATAGTGTTTTTTAAAATGTCAAAATAGGGCTAATACCCCAACAAGCAAATATGGAAAGACATATACTTGGCTAATATTATTGCAAATAGCAAAGGAAATGGCCTGAATTTTGTAAAGATATAATTCGCTGAAGGTAATGTTAATCTCAGTTGAGTACAGAACACAATAACTTCTGTTCAAGCTTTTGGATCAAAGAATAGTCAACGTCTTAGTCATATTACTGAAAGATCTTGTACAATCATGGCATCCAATGAGATCAAGACAGATCCCTTTTTCATAAGCAACCTGTACCAAAGTACAGAGTATAACCTAATATATCCGGTACATCCAAAACCAAAAATTTTAAACATTTCAAGTTTGAGACCTTGATCTGATTTTTTTAGATGGTCATGACAGCATATCATAAAAAATTGATTTCAGGCTTTGACAAATTAAAACACAGACAGAAGGACATGTTGAATCCAGAATAACCCAGTATACCCCCAATATTTTAAGGGGTATACTAGGATTGGGACAAAGGGATAAGGGAGGGGGCATTATTATGAATCTCCCTCTGAATTTGTTTTACTTCGGAGCCCCACTGTATTTAATGCAAAGTCTTATCAAATGCACGGAACACCATTTTATGATCTGACCAGTATGCTTCAATCACATCTGTTTCACAAGGCGATATATTTGTAAAAATCAGGTCAAGTTTAGAACCAGAATCAAGAGTAGTTTTACGCACAATTTGTTTACAGCTGAAGCCTTTTTCCTTAAAAGTTAGAAAGTCCAAATGCCCAGCAAATAAATCAAAATTAAAATTTCCTAAGAATAACAAGTCTTTCTGTTCATCAATTAAGGGCTTTATATGCATATTCATATGCTGTTTGAGATCCCCCAAAGAGCAAGATGGATGTTTGTAAATAACTACAACTTGAACATCTCTGCTTTGGTTTAAATGTATATTTACCATAATGAACCCCAGGGAACCAGTGTTCAGCTTTGAGATACAGGTTGTGTTATAGATATTTTTTCACATACAGTGCTGTTCCATGATATGGGCGCCTATCCAGATTGCATATAGGCTCATGGTTAAATACTGCTGTGTATCCCTGCAGTTGATAATTTTCAGCTACATCAACACTAGTTAATTTTGTCTCTGAGAATCCAACTACATCTGATGTAACAATATTTGGTTCATCTTGAATTTGCGGGAAGTGTTTATGAAGTGATCTACAGTTGTAGAAAGCAATTTTTAAAAAAATGCAAATAGACCTGGTATGATGGGACATAAAAAAGTAGCAGCGGCACATCTTTTTTCATTCTTTCCATTTCCTCTACTACTTGTTCATCCATAGCCAATGCCTGTTCATTGAAGTTTAGGATGTGCAGATGATCCACTGATCGTACACGAC